AATCCAATGTTTCAAGGCATACAAACAATGTGAGGAAAGCAATCAGCTGCATAGAAATACCTGATTCTTGTTGATGAAAGTACCATGAGTACTGCCGAGATCATAAAGATATGCCTCCCCACTTCTCGTGAACTGGAGGACTGGAAAATTTTCAAGTCACCATTATAGATTTAGCGCAAAAATCTCTTAGAATGCATTAAGCCTAAGAATTGTTGAATCTATAATAAAATCAAATGCAATACAATTATAGTACACATACACACATGAAAACATCACCAAGTTAAAATGTAAAGGAAAAAGAATTGCTTAATTACCAGCATGGAAGCGAGAAACGGTTGGATGCTCCAGGACAAAGTCGCAGAGGTCTATACGGCCAAACATGTAAGCTCCTTTCTCATATCTGAAATTTTCAATCAGAAACATCTTCTACAACGCTATAGCATAACGTGAAAAATTAACTTCCACGGAAAAGTAATAAGAAGAAGAAGCTTACACATCAAATTGGTTGATGATAGCGCCGTCCTTGAGGACCTCGAGTTGGAACTGGTGACATGGAGCTGCACTCCAGGGAGGGATCGTGTAGGGAACGGCAAAGCCTTGAGATTGGGGCTTCAAGATCTGCTTGGCATTGTCCTCGGCTGCTTCTGTTGAATCGTTAATGGATGAATTGGATTGGGGTTGCTCTTCGGCGATAGGGGCTTCAGATTGTGGCGGAGGGGTAGGGTTTTTGGCAGGTGGAGGACCCATTGGGGGCTTCATCGTAATTGCAGACGAAGATGTTTCGGCCGGTTCGCTGCTTAGGGTTTCGGGGACGGGGTCTGGTGGAGGAGCCATGGCGGTCGTCATTGTGCTACAGATAGAGAGGCAGAGGCGTTGAGCCTTAGAGTGCCGTCGAGCGCCAAATTTAATGGGCCTATGGGCCGGGTTAAGATTTTGGCGCTTATTTGTAAAACGAGTTCGCTCTGCGGTTCATTTTTTTGGCACAAAACGTTGTCGTATCATGTTATTTAGCAGAACAGATTCAACAAAGCGGTCCCTCTCAGCAAATGGAGATATATGCTCTTTTTTCTGTCTCCTGTATAGAAGAAGAAGAAGAAAAGGAGCATAATTTACCAAATTATGAGCTATAGTTTTCCAGCTGATGGGTTTTATTGGTCTTCTCAACCAGTGATTTTTGTTGCAATTTAGAATTTTTTTTTCACCATGAAAAATACTTGCTTGGAGCTTGAGAAAGGTGTTGTTTTGATGGAACAGGGGCGTGAGCTTCATCTTCATCTTTCAAGCTGAATTATCAAACTGGGTCATGCTCTTGAGGTTAGTTTTCTCATCAAACCACTTCATATGGTTGAAGAAAGACCAAAGTTTGTATCTTTGTGTATTTCTGTATTAGTTTTGTTCAGTTATGGGGGAGGTGATGAGGGTTTCAGTTTCCGTAGTGATTATGTCAAATGGGTTTCTTTTCCAACATAAACCATTTAACCCAAGTAGTTCTGTGCATAAAATTGGCTATCGGCATTCTCGTCAGTGTTTAGTTTCTATGTGGTTACCCAATATGCCGCCAATAAATTTGACAAGTGCATGTACAAGGAAGGCAAAATCTCTGACTTTACCAAACATGGTGGCTGGTGTCCAATCTGGTTTGGTTTGTGAAGAAGAGGAAGAAGATAAAATGGTTCAAAGAGAAGGAGGCTATGAAACTTCTTTTGTTAAGCAGGCATTGCCTCCGTGGGGAGAGTTGGCAATTGACGAGGACTTGGATATTGAACCTGAGGTTCCCATTCAGCCCGAATCATGTTTAAAAAGGAAGGCTTCATTGAATGAAAATAGGGTAAGCTTCTTAGAGGAGATGGACGAAGAAACGTTATCAAAGCGGATTTTGGTGCTTAGTAGAACAAACAAAACTAGAAGTGCATTGGAACTGTTTACTTCCATGGAACTATCAGGTCTGCTTCCTAATTTACATGCATGTAATTCATTATTATCTTGCCTTTTGAGAAATGAGTTACTTGATGATGGCTTGAGAGTGTTTGAATTTATGAAGAGAAAGAAGCTAGCCACAGGGCATACTTATAGTTTAATACTGAAAGCAGTTTCGGTTGCTGAGGGCTGCAGCTCTGCCATTGAAATGTTTGTGGCAATGGAAGAGGAAAGTGAAGTGAGGGACAGTTTTGATACCATCGTCTATAACACAATGATATCAATTTGTGGTAAAGTGAACAATTGGCGTGAAACTGAGAGATTATGGAGACATATTAAGGAGAATGGCCTTACTGGAACACGAGTTACTTATTGCCTCTTAGTTAGCATTTTTGTTCGTTGTAGTCAGCACGAACTAGCTCTTGATGCTTACAATGAAATGATTCAAAACAAATTTGAACCTGGGAATGATACAATGCATGCTATCATTGGTGCATGCTCAAAGGACGGAAAGTGGGATCTTGCGCTAAACATCTTTCAAAGTATGTTGGACAGTGGGCTCAAGCCAAATGCAGTTGCATTCAATGCATTGATAAATTCACTTGGAAAGGCTGGGGAGGTTGAACTAGCATTCAGGGTATATAATATCATGAGATCTTTGGGTCATTCACCCGATGCTTACACATGGAATGCGTTACTTGGTGCATTGTATAGGGCAAATCGACATGATGATGCCCTTAGGCTTTATGAGAGTATCAAGACAAGTCAGGGCTCTCAATTGAACTCACATTTGTACAATATGGCTTTAATGTCATGCTCAAAGCTCGGACTATGGGATAAAGCTCTGAAGCTTTTGTGGCAATTAGAAGCTTCGGGGCAGTCAGTTTCAACTGCATCATATAATCTTGTAATAAGTGCTTGTGAGAAGGCAAGAAAACCTGAAGTGGCATTGCAAGTTTATGAGCACATGGTTCACCAGAAGTGCACCCCAGACATATTTACTTATCTATCACTAATAAGGGGTTGCATTTGGGGTTCTCTATGGGATGAAGTGGAGGAAATCCTGAATGTAAGTTTTTTCCTTGTTTTTTCAGGGTTATGTTAATTTTGTGCCTCAGCTTATCTCATATCATTACTTTTATGGGATAGCATGGAAATTATGTATAAAACGACTCTTTCTAGTGAAACTCAAAAACTCTTTCTATCAATGGTGCAATTGACTCGTATTGTATCCATGCATTATTGTTCTTTTGGAATTGTTTAGACCTTCAATGCCCAAAGATAATGACCTCTATAATGTTTACTTGTTCTGCAGTGGGCTGCACCAGATATGTCTCTTTATAATGCTGCCATTCAAGGAATGTGCTTAAGAGGCAAAATTGAATTAGCAAAGAAGATTTACACGAAGATGCGCGAGAACGGTCTGCAACCAGATGGGAAGACACGGGCTATGATGCTGCAAAACTTACAAAGACGTAAGAAGAAGCAGCCTCCTCGTTACAAAACAAGTAGCAAGTTCTCTTATTATCGTCGTAACTAACATCACAGAAAGATAAGCTGAGAAAAGCACATAGTAGTTAGTTATCTTGTTGATGACTTGAACCAGCTGGTTGCATACTTGTACTATATAGCAGAAACACTGGGATGGTTCATTTTACCATTATACATAAATTAGTCATTCAAAGAAGGTTGCTTTCATCTTTAGAAGGTGAATACTTGCGTTTATGCCACGTACATCATCGGTTGACAATCGTTCATGTCTGTTTCCATGATCGACTGCTCAAAGCAAACCTTTTGTCAGATTGCTAAAATCTGAAGTCTGTGCAAACCGCTTTTTGTTTTTATACAAGCGAAAGTGTAAAACTACTCTAAACCGCTTTTAAACGTACAGTGTGTTTTACTTCAAGCAGGGCACTTTTCATTTCCAATTTCAAAGCATTTCACACCCAAAAAAAACCCACAGATTGCCACAAAATTTAAACCAACAGCAAAATAATTTTCACAAACACTTAAAACTTAGGAAGGAGACGGATTCTGATACACGGATTGGACTTTGGACTCTAACATAGACACATATCTATCCAGCACTGATATCACAGCTTCGAACTCCGTGACTTGCTGCTCTATAACGTCAATCTGCTTCGCATACACTTCAAAGCTGCCGCTTTTCGACTTGAGCTGCTCCACGAAGATGCTCAGCCCAGAGGCCACGTCACCGAAGCCTTTGTACTCTTCGGCCACTCTCAGATTCATCTTCTCCAAAAGGTCCAGGTGGTTGGTTGATCCCTGATCAAAATGAATTCATATCAACAAGTACTCAGTTCTTAGATCAATTGATGATCGCAGAAATCGATTTGAAAAGTTGAAAATTGGGGTTTCAGAGATGGAACCTGGAGCTCGGATTTGACCATAGTGGAAACGCTGGTGAAGAGATCGTTGAGAGACTCGGCGAGCTCGTCTTGGTCCTCTTTTGCGGCCATTGGAAATTGGGTTCCAACCGTTTCACCCAAAGGCCAATAACGAATTTTTTGCTTTATTAGTGCTAAAACCGCTATAGGAAACCGCGGTTTAAGAGTCTCAGTTGATTGTTTAGAACCGCGACTACAAGCATGGGAACCACTAGTGTAGTGGAGGGAGTATTTACTTCCTCAGGTGAGATTCAGGATTCGAGTCTTCGAGTCTTAATATTCGTGTAAACTGTGCGTTTAATATACTATTGCCTTTTAATAAGAAAGGTCCTTAAACACAATAAAAACTGCGACTATAACGTGCACTTTTGGGAATAAAAAGTAATATCTGAATTTACCCACGCATGATTCTTGGTTTAAATCCTAATATTCATGTAGTGTGTGATATACTAAACTCACAATTTCTGATAACCATGGCCCCATCACTGTGAGTAACCGAAAGAAAGAAAGAAAAAAAGGCATGCTAATCTGTTCAAATTATTATTCTTCTTTTTGGTTTTTTTGTTTCAATCAATTGTTCTTTGCATTTTTTATATAGAAATGAACTTACATAGGTAAGTCCTACATATTAGAGAGGTGGTTAGATCATTAGAATATGGTGCAATGTTTAACAAATTTTACATGAATGGAAAAAATTTAAGAGTCTTGAGCTTATAATCAGAGGTTGCAGAAGCATAATTTCCTTCTCTTTCCTTGTGTCTGCCTTTACAACTACAATTCATTCATTCAGACAATATATCTGACATGTTTCAATTGATTAGTTAGAGCCCTCAAGCAACATTATTAAAAATGAAAAATTGGAGGGTATATTTATTGCCCTTGCTATGTCAATAATGAATATGCATCACTGTAGATGGCTACCACACTTGACACTACAGCAACAATGATCATGAAGACAGACAAAATCTTGTCCTTCTTCCATGCTATGCCATGAGGGTCCCTGAAAAACAAAAGATCAAAACCAAATGTGAAGATTAAAATACAAGAAATTCTAGCAGAAAGTAAAAAGATAAAACTCACTTGAGAACAATGCAAGCAGGAAAGATGAATGCAAGCAAAGCTCCAACAGTTGCTCCAGTGAACTCAAAAGCCACCCATATGCTTGGTATGAATATTGCACCCAAGAGGGTGATGATAATGATCCCTGAGCTGAACAATGAAAACCTCACGTTGTCCGAAGCCAACGGTCTGGCTGAGGGGAAGAGAAGGCCGTCCAAGTTAAGGCGCAGGGGAAAAAGAATAATGGGATATACAAGTAAGATGTGGCCTGCGTAACTTATACGAACTATATCGTTGAAGACAGAGCTGTATGGAATGCCAAGGTCTGTGTCAAAGTTGGAGAGCAGGTCAGAAAGAGTTGATTCACCAAACAGGAGGAACCCGAACACGCCGGTCATCACATACACAAAGGCACAGAGAGCAACTGTAGTCTGCACAATGGCTGGCATCCTTCGAGAATCTTCAAGCTCATTTTGTATGCTATGAACTGCATCAAAATAAAATGGCTGGATCTCAACTTGAAGTTTTGGAAATTGAGATATATAGACAAGGATATGATATGAGAGACATTGCGGAAGACAGGATCAAAGATGTTTCCCACTGATAGATAGTCATCCTCAAAATTTTAGATTAGAAACTTATCTTCCCAGCCATTTAACTTATATTGCATCTTCAGAAACTTGCTGAATTTTCCGCTCATTTATGTTTTGACATCACACCAGATATCAGATTATATAATGTGGATGGAGATTGCGAGTGTATAATTATGTTTTGACGATCACTTTCCTACAAACACTGTGCATGAAAGAAGACTGGTTTATAAGAAGAGGATCAACTTGCTTACCATTGTAGTGGCAGACATAAGCAAAAACCACAACAGGAAATGCAGTGAAGAGATTTAGAAAGGAAGTCAGACCAGTAACACTAGGAAACAATGCAGGTGCCTCTATGCTTCCCAGTATTAATTTGTACACAGTGATTACGATGACAGCAACAAGAAAAACAACTGCTAGCGTAATTGATAAAGCTGATGTGAACCTCAGTGAATCTGCAGGCAAATTTGAAAGGGTCTTCTTGTTGGTAAATCTCTATGTACAGCTATTCTATGCCAAACAGAAAAATTAACAAGGGAAGAAATACTAACCAATACGCTTAAAACATATCAATGGAACAATTACGACAACAGTAAGGACAATAAGAACGAAAGCACGTCCAGTCCACCAATGTACCCCTAAGCTTTCTTCCAAAATACCAGCATGGTGAACTCCATTTGAAGTTGAGCCAGAAAGCACATCCTCTGGTAACCAAAAAATAGAATTAACCAAGAAGCTTAGCATGATTTAATCTGGAACAGAATGCCTATAATATTTGAGCTTTGACAAAAATTGGTAAATGATAACAGAAGAAGAAAAAGCATTGAAATTTCACCTATTATGATCATATACACAGTAAGAGAACCAATATTGTTGATTATAACACAGCTCTGAAGCAAAACCTTCCCAACTTTTCCAAAGGCTTCGCCCATGACATCACCATAAGAAAATGCTGAACCAGGCTTGCTGAATCTCAGCAAAAAATCAATTGATGCTTCTGTTAAGAATGCAGCTATGATGATCAAAGCAACCCCTGGGATAAGCCCCAATATGTTCAAGGTAGCAGGCAGGCTCATAATTCCAGAACCAATAACAGTGCAGGACAAATTGAACACAGACCCATGAAAAGAAGCTCTTCTGCTGGGTTTGCCAAACCCAGCTTCAGCTTCTTCATTTTGGCTTGTGGGCAACAAAAGGGTCCTCTCATCAACTAATTGGTGTTCACTTTGTGGTGTACTCATATTCCAATGGCTCACTCACTACTTCAAAATCAGAGCTTTCAAATTTTATCACTTTGAGAGTTCAACATACAACATCAGTTAGCAAGCAGAAATTTTATAAATTCCCAAAAGAATCACCTAATGTGCTGCCTGCAAAGCAAAACTACTAAACAGAAAACAACTCTGTTTCGAACTAGATCGAAAATTCGATACAGGACTTAACAATAGTAATGGAAGTGACAATTGGGTTATAAAATCTTGATATAAATTCAAGACCAAAGAATCAAAAACTGCAAGTACTTAAAATGAGTGGCTTTCTTCCTAGTGGAACTCAACAATATTGAACATAATCTCTCCTGGCAACAAGAAGTTGAATTGAAAACAGAAAAAAGAACGAAAGGTCAAATTTGGTTTCTATAGAACCTAAACAAAATAAACAACTGGTTCTTATAGGTAGACAAACAGAAGGAAAGTAGATACAAACTCTGAATTTAGAGGGACAAATTTTTTTAAGTATTAGAGCAAAGGCTGTTCAGCTGCTAGTCAAACAAATACAAAAATACATAAATGAGTGTTCCCATTTGACTGGAAGGCCTCCATTATTTGTAGTGAATACAACATGTGGTTTAGTTAGATGGGTAATCAGCACCTAGGCAAAAGTCATAACAAAAACGATAGACAATGATGGAAGCCTCGGACATACTCTTCGAAACCACAGGAGGTTCCAATTGCGACACGTGGCATGGTTGGCCAAGATATTTAGTACGACACGACAATCACATTGAAACTTGTACAACAATCTCAGGTAAGTCATATAAATAAATGAATAAAACAAATTGTCTTCACTTTCAAAGAACAAATATGTGAATTTATCCTTAAATTCATGAATAAATTCGATGTCACTTTTTCTTTTGTCTTTCGTTCCATTTGGCCAAGGCACCAAGTGCTCTTCTCAGTTAGGACAACAAAGAGCGCAGATTGCTATATATGGCCATGAAGTTTGAAACTACTGCAAGAATGATCATGGAGACTGACACAATCTTGTCCTTGGTAGTTGCTATACAATGAGGGTCCCTGAAACACCAGATTAACAGAGAAAATCTATGAATTAGAACAATCGATATCGAGATAAGTGAGTTTCTAGTTGAATTAAGAATGAAAAAGAGCTCACTTGAGAGTGATGGAGGCAGGAAACACAAATGCAAGTAACCCTCCCATTGTTGCTCCTGTGAACTCAAAAGCTACCCAAATATTTGGTATGGATATTGCACCCACAAGGGAAATGAGGACAAGCCCTACACTTTCCAACACAAACCTCTTCTTGTCCAAAGCCAGGGGCCTTGCTGAGGGGAAAAGGAGGCCATCCAAGTTGAGCCGCAGAGGTAAGAATATGGTTGGGAAGACAAGTATAACATGACCGGCATAGCTAATTCGAACAATGTCGTTGAACAGTGAGCTATATGGAACACCAATGTCAGTGTCAAAGTTGGAGAGCAAGTCAGTATATGTTGATTCACCAAACAGAAGGAACCCGAAAATGCCAGTCATTACATAGATAACCGCACATAGAGCAAGCGAACCCCGAACAACCCCTTGAATTAGGGAAGAATCTGCAAGCTCATTCTGTATTGTGTGAACTGAAAATTATCAACATTCATATTTTCAGAATGCAACCATTTGCAAATTCTAAAGTTCTGCAAGGATAACAATATGAGTATGGAACTTTGTTCTTCTTCCATTTTGCATACTTAGCACCAAAAAATCTAACCATGAGGGGGAAAAAAGAGCAAATTATAAGGGATGCAAAAGATATAATTGTTTTTTTTTTTTTTTTTTTTTTTTTCCTTGAAAGCACGCAAATTGCGAATCAGGATTCCAGTGCGAAAATAAGTTGTTAAAATTATAGAAACAGAAAATGCTACACATGTAACGACCTGGATATAAAGAGATGATCAGATTGAATACCATTGTAGTGGCAGATGTATGCAAAGACAACAACAGGGACTGCAGTGAAGAGATTAAGGAATGATGTTGAATCAGTAACAGCCGGAAACCATTTAGGCGTCTCTATGCTTCCGATCACTAATTTGAAAGTTGTGACCCCAGTGACAACAAGAAGGAACACAATCGCCAATCCAACTGATATAACAGAGATATATCTGGCTGAATCTGCAACCGAAAAACAAAGAATCATATCTCTGCCCTACTAAGTTTAACCTAACTATGCATAGCAAACTACGATTATATCAAATTACAAGCGACCAAGATGATTTATTTACACAGGAACTGTACTAAGCTGCAACTTTATATTACGCAGAAACAAGGTATCACTAATTAGCACTGATGCAAAAAGGAAATATTTACCAACCAATACGCTCGAAGAACATCAATGGAAAAAATATAATAACAGTTACTGCAACAAGAACAAAGGCGCGGCTAGTCCACCAATGTTCTCCAAACCACCCTTCCAAAATGCCGGCATGGTGAACCTCTTTTGAGGTTGATCCAGAAAGCACATCCTCTGGTTTCGAAAAGGAAACAAACATTTTCTGAGCCACAACAGAAACAATACAAAACAATGGTTCCGAAATTAGTAAGACCAATGTAAGCAGAAAAGGAAGAAATGGCGTCATACCAATTATAATCATGTACACTATAAGAGAACCAGCGTTGTAGATAACAATGCAGATCTGAAGTAAGACTTTCCCAATTCTTCCAAAGGCATCAGCCATGGCATCACCATAGGAATATGCACACCCTGCCTTGCTGAATCTCAACAACATCTCGATCGACGCCTCGATAACAAATGCAACTATAATTATCAAAACAATACCAGGAACGAGCCCCAGCATTTTCAAGGTTGCAGGCAGGCTCATAATGCCAGAACCAACAATGGTGCATGACAGATTGAACACAGAGCCATGAAAGGATGCTCCAGAGTATTTATCTGTCATCACTTTCTCATCTTGAGTCCTTGATAACAAGGGAACTCTCTCGTCTGAGTTTTCTTTGTTATGTTTCATGTTTTCTGGATTCCCAGAAGTCATATTCTAATGCTTGTGAGTTCCAAACCAATATAAAATATATTGAAACTCTCTCAGACAAATGGTTCAATTGCAACAAAGAATCAGTGGTAGGAATGTTGCTACAAAATGTATGCCTTGATACTGGATTGGAACCTCAGCATGATTTTTATTGGGTTGGTAAATCATATAATCCAAAAACTGGATTTGGAATTTGATTGGAACGTGGACCTTTGAATTGTGTTGGGTTTGAATTTGTTTGTAGAATTCCCATGAACAGAGTGATCAAACCAAGAGCTTGAGAAAAAGAAAAAGAAGAAAAGTGATGTGCAGTTTTCTTTTTTGTAGGTTAGTTATATGGTCCGTGTGGAAGGGATTTCCAAATTGCCTAGTGTTTGGACCAAAATTGGCTCAGCCCAAGTTCTGCAATGATGGGCTGATTTTATGAACAGCAGAAGTCCAGTTGCCAAAATTAGTTATAAAATAATTGGGGCTCCATAAGTTATGTTTAAAAGCCCAAATACATCAGACAATGCGGGACTATGAAGACGTTGACTAGACAAATTGGTCAACTGGAAAAGTAAAGCTCATCGGAGAGAATGTGTTCGATGGATATTGTTTGTGTAAATTTCTCACGGGAGAATGTTCGTTTTTAGATCCTCCACTCTTGAAGCTTCCTTCCATCTCTTTCTTGGTTCCTGCAAAACAGACGGGAGTAAAAGACCACGCCTAGGGATGTTGGCCAAATGCATTCCAATGCCTAAGTTAGTTCGATTGGATCTTTGAGAAATAACTAAAAAAGGGTACGGAGTTTTCTCTCACGGGAAGAACCAGGTGGCCAGAGCCGTGTGTCGTTGGCTAGGAGAGAGAGAGAGAGAGAGAGAGAGAGAGAGAGAGAGAGAGAGAGAGATTTCAGGTGTTTAGTGTTGAGTTTCAGATTACCTTGGGTGTTGAATGTGACCATGTATTTATAGGGCTCTAAAGAATATCTTCCTATTTGGAAGGTAGATATTTTTTCCCCAAAATGTAGAGATTGAGTCCATTAGGGATTTAATTGGGATCAAATCATTAATTGATGATGATATCTCCAAAATAGGATAATACTCCATATTGGCCATATTATCCTTTAATTGGTGATTATATTCTCAAATAAAGATAATATCCTTATTTTTAGTATTAATTAATTGGCCAAATAAATGGGCTCAATTAGATATTCTTCTTATCCACGTGGCACCTTGTGATTGGAATCCGGATTACGTGCTCCTACAGATATCATAGAAATCAAATAAATGGTCTCAAAACCAAATTGAAATGGTTATAGCAAAGTCATATGATTTGGTCCCCTAAAATGGATAAAATGATTTCTTTTCTTTAAGATTCATAAATTAAGAGATAATGTAAATGTATGACTTTAAAATCAATTTTCTGCCAATACGTGGCATGTCATAATTGGTCCCCAAAAGAAGGCCTTTAGTTTAAATAAACAAAGATCTATGGTGTGGTTTATTCGAAATTTTTTTGGCTAAAACTTAGAAGACCGTTACTTTTACCCGGGTAAAAGCGCGAATATCCAATTTTGAACTCAGAGCTTACTTCGACAACTAATGGAAAGTCAGATGGTGGAAGAAGAGTAAGACAACCGCATTAAATGCGATTTGAACCATGAAGATCGGCCCATCCAACGTGTCTGAGCCTGTTAAAAGCACAAGAACTGAGGAAGATCCAAAAGACCGCCAAACTCAGTTGTAGAGAAGAGACCAATAATCAGGACTTTCCCTTTTTACCCAGAGGACAAATCCGAGAAGCCAAAAGACTATAAATAACTGGAGGAGATATTGATTCAAGGACAACCAATTTCTCTTAAGAACAGACATCTTATTTGAACCAACCTCAAATACTCAAACAACTTGCCAAATACATATCACAGCATGGCTAAGACTTGAATCAAATCCTCTTTCAATCTCTTGAGTCCCATGTTAACAACTCCTAATTAGAACTCTCTTTTTTTCCTAAACACATACTCTGATTAATTCCCAATTGACAACTTTTTATCGGAATTACTTTGTTATTGTTTGTAATCTTAATGATTTGCCAACATCAATGCTTGATATGATTTTTGTAAGCTAGTCACTTTTTCTAGTTTATCTAAGATCAAAATTTGTATATGCGCAAGTTTTCCTAAGCATTGTAGATATTGCTGACACCTTCATCGGACTCATTGTACTGTCTCAAATAGATTATAGTGGTGTCTGAGGAGTTTTGTTTATGTCCAATGATCATTTCTTTGGTTCATGTTAGGTTGCTTATTGTTTTCAGATCAAATGTATTTGATCTAAATAGATATGTATTTGCTTTCTTACAACAATATAATACCTTTTGACACCACCATTTTTAAACTTTCATTGCACTTTATGTCCAATATCAATTTAAAGTTGTTGCTTCTTCCAAGTTTGTACCGTAGCAAGTGAAATACTAAAGTCCTCTTAACTGAGGCATAGAAAAGAACCTATCCAAGCCAGATTCTCCATTTGGAACACAATGGCTTTGGTTAGAGATTAAGATCAACGAGTGTAGCACCATCTTCACATCACTTGGTCACTCATTCTCTCTTTCTACTAAAAGAGTAAAACGTCAATAGTGGCACGCCTAACGCATCCAAAGAAAAGGGCAACGTCAAGCTCAAACCAAAGGCGGCCCAAACGAGACTTTCTTGATCAACAAGTAATACATCAGTTAAGCATTAGCCTGCAAAAGAACTGGGGCATTGCAATGTTCTCCAAAAGCCCACAAACACTTTTGGCACTTACACTTAGGAAACAATTAATTCAAACAAATAGGTTATCAAATTCTATTTAACAACATATTAGATGCATGTCATATATTATGTTTATATATCGGTTCAGTTTTCGATTTATAAATTCAAAGCCGCCAAGTTACCCAAAAAAAAAAAAAAATCAAAGTTGCAGATTCAATCAAACCAAACCGAGGGCAAAAAAATTAAAATAAGTTAAAATAAGTGCCTAATTCTATATAACTCCTATATTTTATATACTAGCCTCTCTGCATACGTTTCCGCACCTGGAAGAGGCTTTTTTTTTTAATAACAAATTTAAATTTATTTTAGAATTAAAAAAGTAATGGGTAGTTGTGTTCCATAAAAATATGATCAATTATCATATTTTTCTTTTAATTTTAATTTTTTAATATAAAAATGTGAATTTACCATATTATCCTTATTTAATTAATAATTTCAATTCTTAATATTTGAATTAACCAAGGGCATTTTCTTGTATTTTGAATGTTTCACAATTTTTTGCCTTTTGCTTTATATATAATAGCCTCCCTGCACGCGCTACAACGTGTGCGAGAGGCTTTTTTTTTAATCACGCGCGCTACGCGCGACTTACAAAGTTTCGTAATTTTTTTTTTCGAAATTGTATTTATATAGATGTTCGTTTCAACAATTTCATATTTTAATCGAGCGCGTGTGATAAATCGTCTTAACCAAGGATATTTAATCGAGCACGTGAGATAATCAAAATATTACATGTTTCAATAGTTTCATATTTTAATGTTTGCATTAACCAATTATATTTTCTAATATTTTGAATGTTTAACAATTCTCTACCTTTTGGTTTATATATATACAGTCCTCTTCTATTGAGGGATCCCTCAAATAATTTTATTTTAGGGACACCCTTTAGGGTACCCTACAGTTTTTTTTCAATGATCCAAATCATCTATTTTTTAGGTCTTCATTCATAGATCATCCTTACAAAAAATTAGACAAATCGGAAACCGTTTCGACATCCAATTATGTCATATAAAATCAATGAACACGGTGTTTCAAGAAAGTACTAAAATTTCAATAACTCAATTGAATGGTCAAATGATATCGGATTCAAGTGATTTTTTGTAGAGATGATCTTTGAATGTGTATCTACAAAATAGACGGTTTAGATTAGTGAAATATAATACGGAGTGGGCCCTACAAGGGGTGTCCCTCAAATAAGCTTATTTGAGGGATCCATCAATGGAAGCTCTCTGTATATATATATATAAACTCACCCTAAATTTCATTTGCCATGAAAACTCAAATTTAAAATATGTATCATATAATATTTGTCCTTATATTAATACTAAAATTACAATCTGTGCCATCCACCATATATTCCTTTGATTTGTAACTGTACGATTTTTCTAAATGAATAATCCCTAATTTCTAGCACATCACTGATCCCTGTCTTTTCGGAAATCCCTTTAATATCCTTAAATTAAATCCGAAAATTAATTTACAATAATATATGGAGCCCTTAATTTAGGGACTTTATTGATACTCAAATCTCAATCCATGATAATATAAATGATCTCTCTTTCACCATGATGTGGCTAGAGGTTTCTTCACTTCCAAGTACCCTATGAAGTACGACTATTTGGACAGGAAACAATGGTACGTGTTTTCTGTTGTTTATCTCGTAATCCTAGGCAGTGTATAAAGCAAGACTCTTTTGAAAGACATAAGCCTCATCACCTTTCCCTCATCGTTGTTCAAGTGGATGCACATGTTCTGCCACAGCCTGTTTCAGCGGATGTGCTATAGTTCCTTCCGCCACAGCTTGTTTCGGAGACAGTTCCGCAGCTTGTGTGGAATGTTTGGGAGTTTTTAAAGGACGAGAAATCCGGAATGGTATGCAGCGATGATGGCACCCGAATTATCTTTCACCATGATGTGGCTAGGGGGTTTCTTCACTTCCAAGTACTCTGTGACGTACGATTATGTAGACAAGAAACTTAAAACAATGGTACGTATTTTTAGTTGTTTATCTCGTAATCCTAGGTTCTGATTTGATCTTGTTAATTTTGACAAAAGATCATCCACATCATCCTTCACTCATCGTTGTTTCGGGGATGTGCCTGTTACGCCATCGTGTATTCCGGCAAACGTTCCAAATCTTGTAACGAACGTTTGGGAATTTTTGAACGACAAGAAATTTGGAATGGGATGGATCGAGGATGACACCTGAATTCTCTTTCATTATGATGTGGCTAGGGGGCTCTTCACTTCCAAGTATCCAGCCAAGTACGATTGCGTGGACAAGGAACTGATAACAATGGTATCTCGTAATCCTAGGTTCTGATTTGATCTTAAAAATTTAGGAAGAGACCAGCCGCATCGATTTTCCCTCATTATTGTTCCGCCGGTTCCACTTGTTCTGCGATACCATGTTTCTTCGGATGCGCTTGTTACGCCATAACCTGATGTGCCTGTTTCATCAACTATTTCGAAGAGAAATCTGGAATGAGCAAGTGTTTGCAGCAAATCATACGATACAAAGAGCAAGGAGGCTATACTACGGTATTTCTTTTATTTAAAAATATTATAGCCGCGCGGCTATACATTTTTGACAGGTGGACCCTTTTTATTTTTACAAAATAGTATAGCCGCGCGGCTTCAATAGGGTATTTTTTATATTAAAAATAGTATGACCATTCGGCTATACCTGTTTTCACACGTGGACAACTGAGAGCTATGCGGGTCCTGTTTTTGCCCATAAATAGTATAGCCGTCCGGCTATTTTGGTTAAAAAATAGTATAGCCGCGCGGCTATAATGCTTTTCACACGCCAGCACTGGCTTTTTTAGTATAGCCGCTCGGCCATACCCGGGTTAAAAAAAAAAAGTGTAGCCGCGCCGCGTGACGGGTTTTTTTTTTTCATTTTTATTTTTAATAAATCGTATAGCCGATCGGCTATACTCTTTATATATACTGGCATCGTTTTCTTTTGGAAAATTAAAAAAAAGAAAAAATAATTTCCCCTATTTTCTTTTAGGCCTTTGCTCAAGTCTCTATTGTTCCCTTTGATTTTGTTTTTCGTTGCCAGAGTAATTACCCATATAAAGAATTTAGCATTTTCACATTGAATACTCATATTATACATGTACGTACGTATTTTTCATTAATAGATCCGTTTTCTTTACACGTCTTAAAGACTCAATAAAATACATATTTTTCAAAAAGCAAATGTATTGTACACATACATACGTATTTTTCATTTAATACATGTATTTTTTTACAATTTTTTTGAGAATACACACAAAATTCACGTATTGTACACATAATTTCACATATTATTGAATAAAAAGATAGGCCTTGGGGCTCTTGGGTCAATGCCTAATTAGTTGGGTCAATGGTTGATTAGTTGCGTCAATGGTTAATTAATATATATATAATTAATCAAAAGATCGGCCTTGGGGCTCTATGATTTAAATTAAATCTGATTAATTAATTAATTATTTGAATTATTTTTAAAATTCAAATATCATATAATGTTTTTTTATAAAAAAAAATTGGGTTTGCCCTTATCTGATACTTGTTAGAACAGGTATCGGCCACTCTATTTAAACACAAGCCCTAGGTCTGTACAATTACATCAAATTCGCAAAGAACATTCATATCATCATTTCTGTATAGCCTCATAGATAAACACACAAATTTTGCCATAAATCAAAGCCCGAGTGCATTGGATTGGAATTTTAAGAATTGTTCATGGTTAAATGATGAAATACAAGTATAACTAGTTGTAATCTTACTATTTTGTTCATAAAGGCGAAACAGATTATTCAATTCCTCTAATCATTATATTTCATTGTTGCATTGGATTGGAATTGTAACATTATATTTCAATCCCTCAATCCCCAAGAAGAGCACATCACAAGGTTCATAAACCAAGAAGGTATTCCAAGATCTTTTTGTTGATGTTCTTGGACAAGCTTGTGTCTATGATCGCAGTTGGGGTAAATGGGACATAAACAGAAAGGTTGACCAAGGTTGTTGCAAAATGAGGGGCTATTTATCTTAAGTTGGAGGAATTTAATAAGTTAGTTATAACTGAATCTAGGTATTCTTTAATCTTAACTGGTTTTATTTTTTTTTTTTTTGATTAAGAAAGGGGGCAAAGCCCCAAAGAACAGACTACACAACCTGGTTTTAATTTTTGAGTCCTTGATAACAAAGGAACTCTCTCATCAAGAGTTTTATTTGTTATGTTTTGACGAAGTCGTATTCTAACGCTTGTGAGCTCCAAACTAATATCAAATATATTGAACTTCTCTCAGACAAATGGTTCAAGTGCAACAAAGAATCAGTTATAGGAATTTTGCTACAAAATGTGTTCCCTGATACTGGATTGGAACCTCAGCATGAATTTTGTTGGATTAGTAAATCATATAATCCAAAGACTTGATACTGGTTGGTTATACAATCTGTGTGGGAGGGATTTCCAAATTACCTACGAAATAATTCAAACCAAGAGCATAAGAGAGATTTAAAAAGATAATATATGCGCATTCAAAGGCTTGGTATGGAGCCAGGGCAATCACAAAAAGAACAAATTCAAAAACATCCATCGATCTTTCTTGGACATAAATTTATAATTGTAAGCACTAAAAATTCATAAATGATGGTAAAAACTATCATTGAAGTTGTTTCTGAACTAGTTACAACAATCTCCTATCATTCTGTGTTTACATCCCTTTGAGTACTTGAGGAGAAAGCTAAGATGGGAAACACGCTATCAAATGATATCTTTTTATTTCTCAATGCTGAAGGGCATTCAGCATCTCACTTTGATGCAATTTGTACCTTAGGCACAATAGATTGCCTATCCCTAAACAGTTTCAGAAAATAACTTTGTTGTTCTTCGTTTTTTCGTTTTCCAGATCTTCGTTGCTCTACACTGGTTGTTACAAGAAAGCTACTGTGGAGACAAGCTCATGAGGAAACTCCAGCAGCAACATCAAAATGGGCAGTCTTGTTGGAGAAAAAAATAAGCTGCAACTGAAATCAGTAAAATAAGCATCGCCACGAGGAAATGCTTGAAGCTCAGAACTCCTGCATCTATTCTCCTTGCGGTCTCAAACTCTGATGTAGAATCAGTAGGTCCCACTTCAGTCTCACCAACAGAAACATTATTCTGAGTCTCATCCAGCTGAAAATATAAAATAAGGAGGCTACTTTAGAGTCAATAATGTCGTATTTCAACTTGTGTTACAATTGAAAAACAAACTCTCAGTATAACACAGTACATGCAAAAAATTTGCAAAGAAATCTGAATGCTGAATATGAAATTATATTGAATGACAACAAAACGCATCCTTAAGCATGAGAAATATAAAACAGAACAGAAGCAAAAATTTAAGAAAAGAACAATGATTTATAATATATAAAAAAAAAAAGGATATCAAGTCAAACAGTATAAGAAGTCAAACAGGCTTGATGACGGCACAGACCTTACAATTACTATCAGACAACTCATCAGCTTCTTCCTTACTTTCTCTTGTGCCAGTAGCCAAACCATGCTTTGAGGGCATGAAGTCTTTATGATTTCCTCTATCATCATTTCCCATTACCACAGATGGACTATTGTTTGTTTGCAACTTCAGTACCAAAGTTTTATTCTCCACCGCTAATGAAGAAATCTGCACATTCAATCACCAGCAGCTAAGACGAAAATTTAGAGTTTGGAAAAACACATTTTACTAAAGCAAGGCCGGCTGATGTGCCATCACTTAGATTTCAATATGCTTAAACAAAAATTTCAATCTCTCTTTATTGGCAGGAAACAAGATGTCTAAGTGCTTAATGCAATGATAGAAAAGTAAAATTTTCATGTTTTCTTTATAGAAAAAAAATTAAACAAGACAATGTAGAACTTTCAATGTTTAGTAAGACAATATGACCCTTCTAATGACTCAACGGTT